AAAAAAAAAAAAAAATTCTTTAAAGAATAATTCGAACCTATAAAACAAACGGGTCTGAATGGGATGCAACTCCGTACGAGAGCTGAATTGCACTAGTCCTCTTTTAGAATTCGTGAGCAAGAAGAACATGCTAATCATGCATATTTCTGATGTGAGAGTGTATGTAGAAGGCAAGATCACTGCTTTGGAGTTGAGTTTAGCAAGTGCTGAAACAAAGTTAAGTGAATTGTCAAAGCCAAAACAAGATTGAGAGAAACGGACTAAATCGAATGGCGGAGAAGAAATCTTAAAGATACGTTGATCAAGATAGAGTTAGAGACGGTTCTCACGTGAATCTTTGCCTATAATTAGAGAAGTAGACAAGAAAGAAGGGGACTTTTACACTTTCAGACACTGAGGCGGTCGAATTGATTCTTGAGAGAGATCTGGGACTACAATCACTGTATTTCGTTTATCGCTCTTAGTCTTAATAATATGAGTATTTGGGAATTGGAAATTTAGTCTGCAGTTGATTGGGGCTAGATCAGAAAAAATCGCCCGAACAGAAAGCATAAATTGATCACTTCAAGTGTCAAAATCCAGTGACTGAAAAGATATTGAAATCTAATATGAACTTGAAAAATATATAGGTTGACATAATGCAACAGTTTTTATTAGGATATGGAAGACCAATCTGCTTTACACGTGAATATGAGGACACTATTCACAAGTCCCAACTCATTCCTACTCTCTAGACATGTGTATACATACCCCACACACACACACACAAATATATGTATTCAAATATTTAACTGTATTCGTTAATCATTATATTACTAATGTCAAGAACTTGTCCCTCATCTGGAGTATGAAAAATAAAATAAAATAAAAAATAAAAAATAGAAAAAGTTTTATCATGCAGGCTGCAGCCCACTGTTTCAAATTGATTTGAACAGAGTTAGACAAGAGGCCAAAAACATTCTTGCACATTACAAACAACATTTTTCAAGTAATAATATATATCTAGGGGAATAACTTCAAGTTCTCTATTCCTTAAAAAGCTGTCTAGACTAGCAAGAATACAGAATCCAAGTTTCAAACAAAAATTAGTAATTAGTAATTACAAGCTAAATATCCAAACAACAAACTATAAGAGACCAATTCAACATCCACTACGAGGGAAAAGGCAGCACAAAACAAGGATTTGAGTTTGCAGCAATAAACACGTCCCACAAACTTTTTATTAAGTACGACTTAGCTAATAAGCTATCATTACTCAACACTTTGCTCTATAGATAATGTCTCCAAAAATGGCGCAAGCCAACGCAAGGAATTCTCCAGGTCAGATTCTCTCTGTACGCATCGTGTCTTTACCTTTAGATGCCTCAAATTAGGCAAGGGACAGTAGTGGGTGATCTTTCTCAAGGTTTCTGGAAATATTACAGACTTCACAATAAAACGAAAAACAGGGGGAAAAAAAGAAGAAGATGTCGATTAGGACTTTGCTTGATAAAAAGGCAACCAAATAACAGATGAATGAAGATGTGAAAATAATTGAGCTACTATACACATACCTCTTCCGAGTGGAGATTCAAGCTCATACTCTTGGAGCAATCAAAAGATGAGAGAAAATTTAACATATTGACGTACCATTCCATAGTACGGCCCTCCAAATATAATTTAAGACTTATATTGGTTTCCAATAGATTTGGCGAGTTCACAAGTATTTGTGGTAATGTATCCTCTTCACTATAAGTAAAGGAAACCAGATTAGGTGCATCAATTGAAATGTTATTATTGTCTTCTTTGTCGGATCTCTCCAAAACCAAGACTTTAAGGTTCGGATGTCGGACGTCAACAATGCTGCCCCCTGCTAAGGTAAGACTCTCAAGAAGAGGAAATCCAGAAATTATGTTTTCAAGATCCTCGTGTAGAGGAAAATAGGCAGCAGTCAATGAGAGACTAGAAAGTTTCTTGCAAGAAGCAATATAATAGTTGCAAGTACCAAAACATACAAATGATTCAAGATTTATAGCATCAACTTGGATTTCATCCAAGTCTGCATCTATATCCAAGTGCTTGAGGCTTGAACTCGAAATTTCAATGTAAGACAAGGCATTGACTACCATTATAACCAAGTTTTGAATGGCAGGGCAGCCTAAAACTAGATTATGCAATACTTCATCTTTCACCAGAACGTCCCTTAAAGACAAAGATTTCAAAGAAGGAAGGTTTACATGGGAACAATCCTGCAACTTCACACCATCCAAGTTTAGGACAGTCAATGATGTTAAATTGAGTACAACCTGAGGCAAGCAGTAGCATGGGCTCTCACTCATCATATTGACTTCTAATTCCTGGAGATGGGGTTGAGCTGCAATACTTAGCCACCTATTTATTTGAGAACTGTCCCTGTGATAGTCCATACAAAGTTCAAACCTGGTTATAACTGAATTTGTATCGCGTTGCATAGCCATCCTGCGCTGCTCCAAACACTGCTCCACAAAATTGTTGAGCAATACTCCCTTCATTTCATACCAACGAAATTCTAATGCAGGAACTGAATACCACATTCGTCGCCAACGCCTAGAAAGGAGGCTCATCCGAACGACATCCACGGTGCGTAGGAAAAAGCGAATGTGATGGATAACATGAAATTTCATACCAACGAAATTCTAATGCAGGAACTGAATACCACATTCGTCGCCAACGCCTAGAAAGGAGGCTCATCTGAACGACATCCACGGTGCGTAGGAAAAAGCGAATGTGATGGATAACATGATCAGGGAGATTTGATATCAGATCTGGAAGTTTTTGTTCTTGACCTTCTTCTTTTGGCCCATCATGCACTTTCCTTCTTTTTCCGGCCATTTCTGGACATTTGGCAATGAATAGAATATGCTGTACACTAAATAAACAAAGCCTTCAAAGTTGCCTCATATAGAATAAGCTTAAATGAAAAAGAAGGAAACAAAACACGGGTCTTTTCAATCTATTACTTCACATAAAAATGTTACAAACAATTAAATCTTTTCAATCTACCAAGAGAAAGAAAAACCAAAATTTGTCCAAATCTGACAGTATTCAATATATTCCACCATTTTATAACGATAACAATAATAAAAAAAATAAAAAAAATCAGTGGTGCACATTGCAACATCTGGCAAACCATAAACCAAGTTACGGACCAACCTAATTGAATTAGAGACTATAAGATCTCGACCTTAAAACTATTTAATGGAAAAATTCAATAGCCATTTTCCATCACCAATGACATCTCAAAAACCTCAAGTTTTCTGTCATTAAGATCTTCTTAAAAACAAAATTATCCATTTCTAATAGCGAAATGCAGATTTATGAGATTACTAACGCGAAAAGGAGATTGAAAGAAACAACTACAATCTAATATAATATCCAAAAGAGAGAGAATGCCCAGTAAGAAACCCACCATTGAAAGAGAAAAAAGTTACCTTTGAGAGCGCATAGAAATGCAGAGCAAAGCGACTTGGAAAGCCGGTGAACGTAAACCCTAACTTTTTCGTTACTTATCTTCCCTGAAACGATATAATAAGAAGAAACAGAAGGAAGAGAATATCAAAACGCAGAGTAGAAAAGGAATGCAGAATATGAATCAATCAAGGTTAAGAAGAAGAAGAAGAAGAAGAAGAAGAAGAAGAAGAAGGAAATTCGTTGATTTCACCTTCGAAACTGAGATCCAATCAGAGAGAGAGATAGAGTTTTTTCAGTACACCATCTGAAAAAGAGTGCTCTACCAAGTTTAAAAGCTGAAATAAAACCCTCCAAACAATAAAACCATGTGTCACAAGCGCCGTTTGTTTAAGCAAACGACAAGCAAAGTAAAGAGAATTTGAAGCGACAAAGCATTCTTAAACCTCAGCGTGGTACGACAATGCTGACTTAGTCAACGACACCACAAATATATATTTCGAAAAACTTAATACGATACCGAAAGATTTTTTATTTTTTATTTTTTATTTTTTTTATACAATACGAAATTAAATTCGCAACTCCTACTCCAATTTTACTCCATCTAAACCTCCTAATCTCACCAGACCAAAAGATTTTAGTCCTTGTGTTTGGTTTTTTGCGCCTCTTGTTATTGAAATGCCCAGTAGTGTATACAAAATCAATCTCAAAATGCACTTTGAAGCAATTAATTTTTTTCAAATACCAAGATGGCATTCCCCACCAATATCAAATACAATTTTAAACATTATTAACCCAAAATATTAAAAAAAATCTATTCTTAAAAAATAAGAAATTTTCAAAATAACCGAAATGTTTGTTTGATTAGAAAATTGAAATATTTGTTTGATTAAAATGTTTATTTGAACATTTTAAAATTTATTTATTTATTTTGTTAATTCATATTTAAAATGATGGTAATATAGATTGATCACGGTAATTTGGTATTTATTAAAAATTTAATTGATTTAGGGTGGATTTTGTGAGTGATTATATAAACACCTGGTGTGTTTTGGGTAGTTGCATTATAAAAGGGGTAAAAGTGAATTTAGAGGAAACATAAAAAGTGTTTTTAAGTATTTGATAAAAGCGGAAGCCATACCTCCAATCATAGCAATCAGGTTCCAAGTATTGTGGAAATAAAATGAAGAACAATGGGATAACTGGGATTCGTTAGATAATCCATTCAAGACATAATATACTTGTGTGATCGTATTTTTATTTTAGTGGCCAAATACATTTAGAGAATTTTACACTACTATGAAAAAAAAATGCTAATAGAAAATTGTCTTAAAACGTCATGTTTGTATAAACATATGAGAAAATAATTTGTTTTGCATATGTTTTAATTTAATATTGTTTTGATTAGATCAATAAGGATACCTTATTATAGAGTTTTTAATTTCTTTTCGACGTTATAAAAAATCATACCTAATGTTTTGGAGTTCATCTTATCTATATTTTTAGATTTTGAATTTGTCCTTAATTTTTACCTTTTATCAGAACACTAGTTACCGGTCAATTTTGACTAAAAATCGACCAAAATACCCTCAACAAAATAGAAATAATAAGAAAATTTTGTAAAATATGAGGATATTTGAGTATTTTTCATAACCAAAACAATTTTTTGACCAAAAATGGGCAAGTAATTAACATGATTTGAAATTTAAAGTTATAAATGAGATACAATTCAAAATATAAAGTATATGATTTTTTTATCTCAAAACGTAGGGTATAAAAATGAAAAAAAAAAAAAAGAGCTCCCACACATATAAGTAAGCAAAGTTGTTTGTAAAAAACATATAGAAATAAAATAAAATAATAAAATTTAGTGAGGTCATTGTATAAAAATATTAAATTTTAGTGGGAGTGAAATTGAAATGTTAAAATTTTTAAGGGGTCAAATTTTAGTTCCAAAAAAAGCCACCCCACTCATCCCCATATAGCTTCGCTAGTGGTAACACATGCATTAAGCACTAGTACTAGGGCTGTTCATAAACCCGAACAATCCGCAAACCCAACCCACCCCGTCCCAACCCAAGTCGAAAAAAGCAACCCGCAGCATTATTTTTAAATTTGCGGTTCATTATACCTCTGGCCCGAAGTGTTTGGGGTGGATTGCGGGTTGGGCCCATAACAACCCGCAATCCCCAACCCAACCCCAAGCTTTTGACCCAAGCCGAACTGCCTAAGTTCTACCCTAGGCTCACACTAACATTAGGGTTCAACACTAACATTAGGGTTCACAATCTCATTCTCGGTCTCTCCTCCCGTGAACCCCCTCTTCTTGCCTCTTCCTTTTCAGTTCTCCCTCTTCTTCCCCTCCCGTGAACCCCCTCATAACTCTCTCCTCATTGCTCAGTCCTCTCGGCCGCCGTCTTGCCCACTTTCTCCGGTGCTCTCTCGCCGGACTGATAAGGATGGTTACTATTTCTATTTAATGATGAAGTTTGAATATTATATTGAACTTTAAGTCTTTGATTTTTTGAATGTTGAAACCGACCACCCAACCCACCCCGCACCGCCCCAACCCAACCCGAACATCGTTGGGTTGTGAAATTTTTCTAACATCATTGGGGCTAAATATGTGCAACCCGCACCCTTTGGGGCGGAGAAAAAAAAGTCCTACCCCGCACCAACCCAACCCATGAACAGCCCTAACTAGTACTAATAAAAAGTGGCTCCATGTTACAAGATCACTTTTTGTTAGTGAGTAATGTTTAGTACTATCATTTTTTATTAGTGAGTAATATTTAGCACCATCAGTCTCTCATGCATAAATATACATATTAGCCATGTATTAAAAAAACATACGTCTCAAACGCCTCAAGGCGCGCCCCAAATTGAGGCTCTCACTCAAGGATTCGAGGCTAAGTTTTTATGGCCTCCAGTGCCAAAGACCAAATCCTAGACACCCAGCACGCAAAATCTCGACCTCTTCTCCCCCATCTTCTAGATCTCCGACGACTTGAGCATCGACAACCAGAGCAGTAGCAGTCCAGCGACTACTCCTCTATCCACTATTTATTTACTCTGCTCTGTTTTCTTTTTTGTTTTTGTTTTTTTGCGTTTTTTGTTTTTTGTTTTTGTTTTCCATAGCTACTAAATCATATAAGCTCTTTTGGTCTTGGCTTTAACTTTATTTTATTTTTGCTTTATAGGTAATGCTTTTAGTTTTTTATTTTTATTTTTTTATGTTATATTAATATTACATAACACACTTATTCGATTATGTTTTTTGGTAAAAGATAAAACTTCATTAAAACAAAGAAAAAGTACAAAAGCAAGTTTCAGATAGACGAGCAATCATAAAACTTCATTCGGTTATGTAATGTTATATATTATTATTATAAAGTATGTAACTATATATACTATGTAGTATACTTATTTAGTTTGTAATTTCTGGTTATTTTCTTTTATATTTTTAATTAGTTATTTATATATATTATCAAAAACAAAATTAGCTATTTATAATTGCTGATTAGTTATTTTTTACTAAGACTTGAATTGATACGTTTAGTTTCGTTTACAGTGTTAGACTAAGACTCAAGAATTAAAGTTGTATTAAAAAGAAAAAAAAAAGTGTTAGACTAATACTACTTTCCGCATTTCTCACTTATAGACCTTATGTACTATCTCATTACGTGTTTTTTATGGTTTTTGTGATGAACTAAGTTTGTGAGTTGATTATTGTTGCACATTTATGGATATTCTTTATTTTTATGATTTTTTAATTACATTCGAGGTTTATGTTGGAAATATTGAGGGATAAGAGACTTGAAACACGTAGAAAGTACGCTTTCCTTAAAGCGTAATTTGCCCCCTCTCGTTAGAGATTGTTTCGGATTCTCAGCAAATCGCTCTCGGAATATGATAAGCTTTCAAGTTGTTAATCACAAGAAAATTGACAACAACATTAAGAA